ATGTCCATCCTATGATTACCAGAAGTAAACGAGGGATTTGGAAACAAAAAATATTTCAGGTTGCATGTTCTGATCAAGAGCCTCGTAATATAAAAGAGGCAACAAAACCTGGTCACTTGTTCCACTTTCTGCTAATAGGCGAGTAGTTGAATGCAAGTGGTTGTTTAAGGTAAAGCGAAATGTCGATGGTTTTGCAGCAAGGTATAAAGCTCGTCTTGTAGCAAAGGGCTTTCTTCAATAACCAGATGTTGATTTTCATTAAGTTTTCAGTCTTGTAGTTAAGCTTTCTACAGTACGAGCTATTATTTCTTTTTCCTTGACTCGTGGTTGGAAGTTAAGACAAGTTGATACTAATAACACTTTTTTAAATGGGTTTCTCACAAAGGAAGTGTACATGATTCAGCTGTCAGATTACGAGCAAGGTGATGGAAACACTGTTTACAAACTTCACAAGGCCATTTATGGGCTTAAATCCGCATGTATTTGGAATATGAGGGTTTTGTTTTAGAAAAATATGATTCATCTTTTTATGTTCACAAGTCAGCTACTAGTGTTATATATTTGTTGGTGTATGTTGATGATATTAGTCTTACTGGAAATAAACCGGATGAAGTGCAGCTTGTTATTAACAAGTTGAACAAACAATTTTCATTGAATGATCTTAGATCTTTGAGCTATTTTTTAGGGGTTGAGGTTTGTTATGAGGCAGATAATATTGTGTTGAGTCAACGAAAATATATTGGTGATTTGTTACAGCGCAATGGCTTTTATGGTGCCAAGAGTCTTCCTACGCCAGTGGTGTCGAGTTGTAAGTTGTTAGTTAAGGATGGATCCAATTTTGAAGATGCAGCTTACTACAGAAGTATAGTTGGTGCATTGTAATATATTGTTATTACTCGCCCTTATGTGGCATTTGCAGTCAATCGAGTATGTTAGTTCATACAGGCTTCACTTGATACTCATTTTCAAGCTGTGAAATGAATTTTGCATTATCTTTAGGGTACCATTGATTTTGGTTTAAGTTTCTCACCTTCCTCTAGATTAACGTTAACTGGTTTTGCTGATGCCAATTGGGGGTCGAATATGGATGATAGGCGCTCTACTTCTGGTTATTGTATTTACTTTTCTGGGAACTTAGTCTCATGGAGTTCTCAAAAACAACAAGTTGTAGCCAGATCTACTACTGAGGGTGAATATCGGAGTGTTGCATGTGCTGTAGCTGATATGAGGTGGCTTTAATCCTTACTTACTGAGTTGCATGTTGTTCTACATGGTACACCTGCATTATGGTGTGACAATTCGAGTGTTGTTTCTATATGTGCTAACCCAGTTCTTCATTATAAATTCAAACATGTGGAACTTGATTTGTTTTTTGTTAGAGAGATAGTTGCTGCTGGAAAATTGCAGGTTCATGAGGTTCCAGCAGTTGATCAAGTTGTTGATATTCTAACTAAACCATTGTCTGCTCCTTTATTCCTAAAGCATAGACAACGACTTCTGATTGTTCAACTCAAGGATATGTTGTTGATTCATGAGTTGAGCAGTAAAAATATGATTGAAGAATTTGACGAATGATGAATGAATGCTGAAGATTTTAACAAGTTGTTAAGTAGGGTGAATGTTGAAGAATGAAGGTTTTGATGTGTTTGTTATGAGTTGTCAAGTAGAGTGAATGTTGAAGAATGTTGTGCATTACTGCATTGTTTGCTTTGCATGAATTTGTTAAGTGTATGTTAGGAGTTTGTTACAGGGTTGCTTACGTTTCTTGCAAAGTTGGCAAAAGAGGTGGTTAGAGTTGTTTGTTCAGCTTTGTATATAAGCACCCATGTATGGCTTAAAAAGTAGCTTTTCATTCTAATAAAAATGAATATGAAGTTTTCTTCTCTTCCTTTCTTTGTTATGAATGTTTGCATGATAGTTGTTTGGCTATCTTAACATGGATATTTCAATTATTTTACAATTGACTTGGGATCTAGTTCACACTCTATACAACTTCAATTAACCGTGGAGTGATAAATGTTATGTATATTAGTATATATGATATGTACATATTATATATTATTATATTTTAGGATACGAACGGAGTGACTTTGGTGGTAAAAAAAGTTGCTATTTCTTGAGGTCTTAAGCTCGAGCATTAAAAATATCAAATAATTGAGAGTTATATTTGAATAGATACTACATTGCACTTACCTTAGATTAACTCAAAAACTATATATATTTTAGGTCTCTTTTCTTTCAGTTTTTATTTGATTAGTTTGATTCTTAAATAAATTATCATGTATTAATTATGCTTTGTGTTACATGCATATATTTTGTATACATTATACTTTTATAGTTAGTAAATTATTAAATAAATATTTACATGATATTTGCATAGGTTATGATGATCCTCAACGAAAATAAAAAAGATGTCAATAAGTGAAAGTATCGAGTTGAGCAAGAAGATGAGTAAATTTTAAATTTTATTCTTATTTTGTGCTTTATTTTCTCCATGAATTATTAAAATTTTCTTTTATAGTCGATGAAATTTCGACGTTTTGATACTTCTTGTTGGTGGGATCTAATTGCACTTATAATTTTCTATTCTATCCTCTTCTTTATTTACGAGTATGTTTTATTGTTTAATTATTCTAATACCTGTGACAATTAGCATAGATTGTGTACGTTGAAGTTTGCAAATTATGTCGTGTATTCTAATTACAAATATTTTTTTTGTTGTCCTTCCAGTTCTTAAGGCATTGTCTTGATTAATTCGGATCGATTCGGGTCGCATATTTGATTTTGGTGGGTGAGTCTCCTAACGGAGATTTTCTGTATACATAAGAACTAGAATTCGAGACTTACTTAAGCAATATCAAGCTGCTTATCACTTGAACCATCCCTCGTGGATAATATTTGTTTGTGATGAACTATTTTTTTCTTTCAAATTTGACCATCAATTCCTCCATGCAATTTAGTAATCAATTGGTTAGGTTAAACTAAATTAAGCTATCAATAAGCCAACAAACAATAGCTTAAAACATGTTATTATAGCCTTTTTCTTCTCCTTTATGTTAGGTTAGGTTTTAGCTTCATTTTTTAACAAACTAAAAGGGAAACAAAAATCCACAAACAATATCTGGCTTTTCATTAGAATGAATTTTTTTTTGACAAACCCTAATGATAATAACAAAGGAAAAGACAAAAGATGAAGAAGAGAAGTTAATACTAGTAGTAATGATAAAGGGATGGAGAAAAGAAAGGCGGTCAAAGTTTTTCTGGTAAACGAATAAACGAGAAATTAATGAAGGGGACTGTTTGACGGATGTGTGAAGACCATGTGATCCCATCGCACGCAATATTAATTTACCCCACCTCTCAATATCACTTGGTCCCAATATATTGAAATCTCATCACCTTTTTCTAATATTTTTTTAATTCGTTATTGAATAATTATTCCAATCAAGTCAAATAATTTGATTATGAAAATTTTGTTTTGTTTTTCAAAACTCGATTTAAAAACTAATCGAATTTGTTAAATGATTTCAGTGGTTAAAAGAAATATCATTTTCTTTAGTTCTAAGTTCGTACAATTGTTTTTGCATGGGGCATGTAGTTAATGGTTATGAAAAATTCAAAATAAATATTAATTATAATCATCTTTGACTATTTAAATAATAATAAATAATTTAATTCATTTTGAAAAATTTTGTTTTGTTTTTCAAAACTCGATTTAAAAACTAATCGAATTTGTTAAATGATTTCAGTGGTTAAAAGAAATATCATTTTCTTTAGTTCTAAGTTCGTACAATTGTTTTTGCATGGTGCATGTAGTTAATGGTTATGAAAAATTCAAAATAAATATTAACTTATAATCATCTTTGACTATTTTAAATAATAATAAATAATTTAATTCATTTTTAAATAATTTTATGTATTAAATAAAAATATTATTGATTTGGATAACCTTCTAGTGATAAAGGTCTTAAAAGATGCCCTAATGAACAATAGTTGTGCCATATAGTATTGTCTACATGTGCTTTCTAGGACCATATGCTATTATTAGATGGACGATTATATGCTCAATAAGTTTTGGTTCGTCTCATTAATGATTATTATATTTTATAATTATGGATGAAATATGAAACACACTTGTCTCGTTCTTCATCACAATAATGAGATTGCATGCAAAATTTTCATTTGCAAAAGTTATTGTAAATATTTTTTGTTTTTAAAATATATTTTGACAAGACATGATAATTATTTAATATGTGTAATTAAATATACTTAAGGATCCCACAGAGAGAGGGTGCCCCCAAATATTAAGATTATTTCGAGGTGATGAGTGATGGGGGGCATAGGCATTATCTATAGTTACCAAAAAATTATGGGTAAACTACACGTCTAGTAACTAGATTGTTACTTTTGTTCTATTTTGACACTTAAATTTTATTATTTTCAAAACTATACTTAAGATTTAGTTTATTTTTATTTTGGTCTCTGGTGTCACAAACATAACAAAAATGTTAACATTATTTTTTTTATTTTATTTTTTAATGATGACATGATATTATCTTATGGTGATACATCAAATATCACCGTTAAGCTTTTAACGACGAATACTAGAATGAAGCACAATTTAAACGTTATGTACGATTAAGAAAAAAAACAAATTTAGTACCAAAACGAAACTAAAGTAATAGTTTAAATATTAAATATATAATTTACCCTAAAATTGTATGATCAATATGGATTATAGATTAAAGAGAGTTCACAGGATAATCATATCCTTACAAATTTTAAATTATCTTATAATCTATATTATTTTTATATTTTATATTATTATATATTTTCATTCTCATAAAATTTTATAAATTTTTCTCAATCTAAAATTTTATAAATTTACATTATTATATCATAAAATTGTAAGTAGAATGTACATATAATTTTCAATCTAATGTGTCTAATCAAGCATTTATTCTCTCCTATTTAAGTCACACACTCACCTCCCAAAGCAACCACTCTTCATACTTCCCATAACCCATACAACTACCACTGTTGTTTCCTTTATTATTTCTTCTTCGTTTAAATGGCCAAAACACAGATCTTCGAGCTGATTTCGGTTGCGTTACTCGTTCTTGTAGTAGTGAGTCAAAGCGAGTCGGTGAAACAAGAAGAAGAAGCTGACAAAATATCAGCACTTCCAGGGCAACCCAAAGTCTCTTTCCAACAATTCTCTGGCTATGTCACAGTCAACAAACTTGCTGGTCGAGCTCTCTTTTACTGGCTCACTGAGTCACCCACTTCCCCCTCGTCCAAGCCTTTAGTCATCTGGCTCAATGGAGGTTAGTTATTGTTTTTCAAGTACTGTTATATTGTTTCTTCTTCTTCTTCTTCTTCTTCTTAATTTGCTCAACTTTATATTTTTGACTTTGAACCGACATGATCGTAATTGATGAATAATGTTTTTTTTTCTCTGTATACTTAAAGGATGTTTATGTACTGAAGATCTTTCCTTTTGTGTTTTGTTTTTTCAAGCTCTTTCTTTTCATTTATCTTTTCGGTGTAATCATTAAAAGTGATAATTTGACTTTTGGGGTGGCTGAGTTTTTATTATACACAACTGTCAAGTAGTCAAATCCATCTTTAATGTGCTAATTATTTTATAATTTTTTACAATATTTAATTGCAATAAACAATATATTAAATTTGAATATACCAAATTTTTTTGTGAAAAAAAACAACTGTCTTTTGGATAGATAGAAATGATGACCGAACTACCCATAAGAGGCTAGAATTCATGAGCAGTAATACTCAACAACTACCACAAAATAAAGAAAACTTTTTTTTTTTTAAATATTAGCTCCTCCCTTTTTTTCTCTCTTCCTCTGTAACATTGAAGTAACAGCAAATAAAAATGCCTGGGAAAAAAACAGGTTACATTTATTACACCCACATCAAATATAATAGCAGCAGAAATTATAGTTCAGCAAATACAATTAATTTCACCCGTGTTGCTAGTTCGTCTTAGGGTAGCTTTGAAAATTTCAATGTTCGCACACAGGGTGGATGGCTGTTGTGAAAATTTTAAATTATTACATGTTTTATAATTTTGAAAATTTATTGTTTCCACCCTTAATTGTATATGTGTTTTTTGTAAATTTTATCTATTTAGTATGAATAAAATTTTTGTAAAGGGTTTTTTTTTTAATTTATTTTTGTGATTTTATTATAGGTCCTGGTTGCTCATCGGTTGCATATGGCGCATCAGAAGAGATTGGTCCATTTAGAATCAACAAATCAGCCTCAGGGCTATACCTCAACAAGTTCTCCTGGAACCATGTGGCTAACCTCTTGTTCTTGGAGACTCCTGCTGGTGTTGGCTTCTCTTACAGCAACCACAGCTCCGATTTGTTCGATACCGGCGATACTCGAACTGGTGGGACTCTAGAACCCCATATGCTAGCTTAGCTGATTAGTAGAGCTTCTGATCTAATTTGATAGTTGTTGTTGCAGCTATGGACTCGTTGCAGTTCTTGATCGGATGGCTCAACCGATTCCCGCGATATAAGAATCGTGAAGTCTACATCTCCGGCGAGAGCTATGCCGGCCATTACGTGCCACAATTGGCCAGACAGATCATGGTTTACAACAACAAATCCAAGCACCCGATAAATCTCAAAGGAATAATGGTAACTCCTTTATCTGCAGCCTTTTGTTTTTGTTTTACTGTTTCATTAGAGGGATTGTGAGGTTGATAAAAAATGTAATGCAGGTGGGGAATGCAGTGACAGACAACTATTATGATAACCTTGGGACTGTGACATACTGGTGGAGCCATGCCATGATCTCCGATAAAACGTATCATCAACTCATCAACACTTGCGATTTTCGTCGGCAGAAAGAGTCGGACGAATGCGAATCGATGTATTCTTATGCAATGGACCAAGAGTTTGGGAACATTGATCAGTACAACATATATGCACCCCCTTGCAATAACTCAGATGGTAGCCGTTTTACCCGGCAGAGTATGCGATTGCCTCATCGACCCCGTCGGGTACCGGTTTCTAGATTATATGTAGTAAACATGCAATTATCATGTATTAGGGCCAATTTATTGCAATTCTGAGTATGAAAGCTCTTCAGATTTTCAGGCAGATAGCAGGCTATGATCCTTGCACCGAAAAGTATGCCGAGATATACTACAATAGGCCAGATGTCCAGAAGGCACTCCATGCCAACAAAACCGGAATCCTATACAAATGGACCTCCTGCAGGTACTTCGATTATGCCACACATGATCCGTCAACAACATCGTGTTCATGTTAACACAATTTCGCTTTCTTCTTGATGCAGTGAAGTCCTAAATCGTAATTGGAACGACACAGATGTATCCATTTTACCGATTTACCGAGAAATGATTGCCGGTGGTCTGAGAGTCTGGGTTTTCAGGTTGGCAAAAACTATATCTAAATATGAAGTTTGAATTACCCTTTATACCTTAGAAAAAATTCATTAAACCCGTTTTTTTTTTTTTGAATGACAATAGTGGTGATGTAGACTCAGTAGTACCAGTTACAGCAACACGATACTCCCTTGAACAATTGAAATTAACTACCAAAATTCCCTGGTATCCTTGGTATGTTAAGAAACAGGTAAGCCTCATATATCTTTGTAATTGTCTCTATTTCCGGATTAGACAGTTGAACCGATCCCGACTGGTCGAGTTTTGCTACTTCGTCTTCGAGGTACAATGTCAGACGTCTATGTCGGAGACGGGTTTACTAATATGATCCGACATGTAAACGGAAAAGGGAATTTTGTGTGTTTTTTTTTAAGGTTGGGGGATGGACAGAGGTGTATGAAGGGCTAACCTTTGCAACGGTGAGAGGGGCAGGGCATGAAGTACCATTGTTCAAGCCAAGAGCAGCACTTGAGCTTTTCAAATCATTTTTGAGAGGGACACCCCTTCCTAAATCATGATTTTTTTTTTGGTGCCAACAGAAAATGTCATTTCTAACCACTCAAAAATCATGATTGTGTAATGGGGGTGAAACAAAGGTGATAATGGAATGAATGAATGTGTTTTGGGTATAATCATTTTTAACCACTCAAAAATAGTTGATTTGTACTTTGAAAAACATTAATTTGAACTAAACAAAAAATAGAAAAAATAATTATAATTGATGCGGAATCTCAAATCAAATAATTTGATTAATTGATTTTGAAGAAGATTTCAATAATTTTTAACTCGATTTATTCTATCTGATTTATATTAAATAATAGATATTAATGATCAAATCAAGTTTGATAAGCATGGTAAGAATTTGGAGTAGAGAACGAAGGAAAAGTTTCACTTTATTGGAGAGAAGGATAAAACATTATCGTCTTACCCCTTGAGCTATAACCCCAAGCATAAGATGACTATTGTTGAAGATTGATGGATTTTTCGTTGGTGTCGCTTATTATTATTAAATTTATATTTTAATATAATAAATAATTACAAAATTAATTTTTGAGTTAGTTGAATTTGTTACAAAAATTTTAAAAATAATTCGTACAAATTAACTTAAAAATATATCTTAATTTTTTTTTTTTAATTTGGTTGAATCTTTTCAAACAATTACTCAATCATTTTCGTACTTCAAAATTAAATTTTCTAAAAAGTTTAGCTCAAAAAATAGGTCGATTTACCCAAAAGATCAATCCTTTAAATCCCAGTAGCTAGTGGACTAGTCTAATTTTCAAAAGATTAATCCATTTCTAGAAAAGCCTAAAAAGATTGATCCTTTGGATTTCACTAACTAGTGGATTGATCTAATTTTCAGAAGGTCAATCCTTTTCTAAGAAATCCTAAAAGGATCGATCACTTCTTTGACAACAATTAAATGTATGAAAAAAGGATCGATCCCTCGTGTCATAAATATCATTTTTTCGGTAAGTAACAATTCTATTATATTCCAACATTTCTTAATGGCTAGAAATCATAAAGAAGGTATAGAAACATAAAAAAAATTTGTGTATATTCAACATAAAAAAAAATTGTTTATATTCATTTTTAGAACACTTATGTCATTAATTAAACAATATAGCTTTGTTATTTGACCAAGAACTTATTTATCGTAAACATAATTTGTTTTGTAAGTTTTTTTTATTTATTAAATTTTTGTTTAGTGAGAGTGTGCAATTAAGATTTTGAGTATAATACTTTTAAGGTATTTGAAAGGTTACACATTGCCGTTAAAGGTAAGTAAATTTAGTGCATTTGAGAAATTCTTAGTGCGAATGTTAAGATATTGAGTTGTTGGTGTTTCGATGCATATCTTTAGAATAATTGAGTTCAATGAATTGTTGATTTAAGGGATTCATTGCGATTGATTTTTTTATGGAATGTTCTACACTAACCGAATTAATTGTTAGTGAGAACAAGTTGATCTTGTTACCTTTAACGGTTTACCTCTTTTAATTTGGACTGAGAGTCATGGCCAATGAGATAACGACGAGAGTCGGTGATGAATTCGAGTGAAGAGAAGGAATAATTGTAGAAGAAGATTATTTGTGCTAGAGAGTATGAAGATGGTTATTTAAAAGCCCATTTCTCATTTGTGGCAGATAACTACTTTTGCTGATATATAGGGTTAGACATAGAGTCATTATGACTGCCCTTGGGTTAACAATCTAAATAGATTTGGTTGTCATATCTTGAATTTCATTTTAGTAGTTCACGTGAGACAGCCAGAAGTATTGTCTAAGTTCCAGGTAAGCAAAAGAATATACAACAAATCTCAACTAATAAAAAGTCGACGATTTTCGAAAATTTCCTTCGAATATACAACAAACAGAAATCTCTAAAATGATAAAATCTAACAAAATAGGTTTGATTGTACGTAGACTGTTTCTGTTCCTCAACTTTCTATTCATTCTTTACTTTTTGCAGTAATTCATGTTTTTCAAGAGACTCTTTATTGCAGATAGTATATGAAATCATATATTAATCCAAGTCTAAAAAAATAACACTTAGCAGAAAAAATGCAAAAAACGACTTGAACCTTTCTTTCTCGTTGTTTTTTTTATTAGGTAAACATGAACAATCAATGACGGTTTCTGGAGATGAGGAAGAACAGTTGTGCAAGAAGGTAAATATGATTAAAGACAAATACAATAAGGTTAACAAAAAAGTAGTTTGAGTCAACAGAATGTTTCATTAAAGCTCCATAATCTAGGCTTTAGAGACCACACATATTTGTAGCCCAAAGATATAATAGACTCAAGACCCAAAGCGTAACTTTCCAACAGACTAGAGATCAGTTAGTTGAAACTAACAAGGCTTAACCGATACACCAGACTTAAGCAAGGCTACACTCTAATATTTTCCTGGTTCTCCTCTTGTTCTTCCTTCTTCATTCCGTTGATAGCAACAATCTCTGCAAATGATACAACTCCAATTCGATGTCTCACCTCGTAAAACATTGCTGGTGATATAGTTTTATAAGCACATCAGCGACTTAGGAGTTGTCCTGTAAGACCTTTTTCTCTAACAAAGTGAAGATCAATGTCAACATGCTTTATCCGAGCATGATGCGTAGGATTGGCAGATATGGACACCGTCGAAGTATTATCACACCAGAAAGTGTGCTACCCTTCCATGGGAACACCAATTTTATTTAACAATTGTTCAATCCATGTCAATTCAGAAACTGTATTCACAACTTCTATATTCTGCCTTCGATGTTGAACTGGAGACAACACTCTGTTTTTTAGAGCTCCAAGCAATCAAATTTCCTCCAAGATAGACACAGTAACCAGTAGTGGAACGTCTATCTTCTACCGAGGTTGCCTAGTCAGCATCTACATAACCAACAAGATTAAAAGATTCTGTTGCACTAAACCGTAGCCCATGATCACAAGTGCCACTTAGATACCATAATTTGCTTAACTTCTTTCCAATGAGTGTCATATGGATCATTCATATATTAGCTCACTTTATTTACTACATACGCAATACCGTGGCGTGTAAGACACATATTGAAGGCCCCCCAACAATGCTCCTAAAAATATTAATATCACCAAAAGTTTGACCAACAGTAGCTTGCAGTTTTGGAGCAGTAACCATTGGAGTTAGAATAGGGGCAACATGCTTCAACCCAATTTTTTCTAACAAATCAAGCACACACTTATTCTGGTTGAGGAACAAATAATTCATCACTTGTTGAGCCTCCATTCCAAGAAAACAACCGTTTTGACCCAAGTCTTTAAGAGAAAACTTTGAATGGATCCGCTGCACAACTTCGTTCACATCATTTAATTTTGAGCCAACAACAACTATATCATCTACATAAATCATTAACACAATCTTCGTATTTTCAGAACCTCGAACAAATAGAGAGGAATCAACCTTCGGAGCAATGAATCCCAACTTGGTAACTATAAAAAATTTCAACGTATCGAACAACGCCCCTAGTGCTTGTCGCAAACCATATAGAGCTTTTTGAAGCTTGTACATAAGCTTCTCACCGTTAGGAACCCTTCTTTCAAAGCATGGGGGCTGACACACATATATATCCTCGGTTAATTGAATATTAAAGAAGGCATTGTTGATATCATTTTGCCTAATATGCCATTTCTCTGCAACAACAATGGCTAGAACAATTTGGATAGTAATGGCTCGAACGACTGGGCTAAGCGTCTTATGAAAGTCACTCATCACTTTTTGAGAATACCCTTTAACAACCAACCTGGCTTTGAATATTTCTACAATACCATCCGGCTTCCTTTTTACTCTAAAAAGCCACTTGCAACCTACTGTCTTCCTTGTAGGAGGTAATGGTACAAGGCTCCAAGTGCTAGTTCTCATCAACGCATCATATTTAGCATAAACGTCCTTCCTCCAGGCTGGATGCTCTAACGCCTCAAAGATATCAGCTGGCTCTTTCGGACCTTCTTCAGCAAGGAACACCTCAGGCTTAAAAATACCAACCTTCCCTTTAGTAACCATGGGATGAGCATTTTGAACCATAGGAGATGGAGATGATGGCAGCGAGCTGGAAAAATGAGGATGGTGGAATGATGGATGGAAATGATTGATGTAAAGATAATGATGATGGAGATGAAATATATGAGACATGTGGAGGTGATAAAAGTGGAGAGGTCGAAGGAGATAGAGGTAATGGAGATGACATGGACTCAATAAATGAATGATGAGATGGTAGGGAAGACGATGCTAGTTATTACCGATAGACTCAAGGGGGCACAAGTGAAGGGTTTGACATAGGTGAACTGTATCCTTGATCTGTACGAGCCAATAGGGGCAGCTTTTGGCACGAATTAAACCTCAATGCAGAACAATTTTGATTATCGAAAACAAGAATAGTGCATGACCTAACATTTTTAACTTTGTTTTAGTAAGGATCTAAAGAAATATATGGTTGGGTAACATTTTTTGACACAACAAAAGGGAACAAGTGTTCATCACACGTAACGTGCCTAGATATAAATATATATTCTACCACTCTTATCAAGGCATCTAAAACCTTTATGAACTAGTGATTTACCAAGAAAAACACACAATGAGGATCGAAACTGAAGTTTATTTTTGTTAAACGGACACAAAAAAGGATAACATGTACCCAAAAAATCCTCATATAGTTATAATCAGGGCATTTATCAAAAAATTTCTCATATGGAGACATACCTGATAGAGTTGTTATAGGTAACCTGTAGACACCCGTTTTTGTCCGGGTCTCGAAAAAACATTATTATTGTTATTATTATTATTATTATTATTTTATTAATACATTTTGTTTTACAGGCCCAATTTCAGGCTCAACCCGAAGCCCAATTACAGCAGACCCAGTAAAACCTAGATTACACCATTACAAGCCCAAACTGATCCACTCAGCAGACCCAACCCGATTGGAGCCCCAAAGAGCCAACCCGAACCGACCCAACAAGAAAACCCGACCCAATTCAACTATGGTTTCAAAACTCTAGTTCTTAACCCTAGCTACTGCCGCCGCCTGTTCTCCACTGATACCGTGGACTGCTTCCATCTGCACCAACAATGACTTATTCTACTCCCATCAGTCAAAACGATCATATCA